AACTACAGAGCAAACCACTACACGGCCAACTACCCCAGCAACTACATACTCTACCACGATGAGGACCACAATACAGACGACCACGCCTGTAGAGACGACAGAGAAAACAACACGTCTGACTACAAGACAGACTACAGAAGCAACGTCTAGGCCAACAACTAAGGATGCTACAAAACAAACTACGATACCAACGACAAAGAATCCTACAACTCAAAAACATACTACTGAAAGGACTACAGAAAGAAGCACACAGCCTATCACACAGATGACAACTGACGAAACAACTCGGCTAACTACAACGGCGCATTTCACAACCATTCCAACGACGAAGAATCCTACAACGCAAAAACATACAACTGTAAGGACTACGTTGCGAACTACACAGCCTACCACGGAGATGACGACGTACAAAACTACGCTACAATCTACGGTAGTGACCACAGCACGAACGACACAACCTTCAACTCAGATGGCGACAGAGGAAACAACTCGGCTAACAACTGCAAGAACCACGGAAGAGACCACCGGTACAAACTACACGGCCGACCACTACAGAAACTACAGAAGAGACCACAAAACAAACCACAAGACAAACTACTCTAAAGCCTACGGAAGAGATCACCTTACAAACCACACAGCCAAGTACTGCAAGAACGACGGAAGCAACCACCGAAGAAACTACAAAGCCAACTACAGTTGGGATTACGGAAGAGACCACTTTACAAACCACACAGCGAACTACTGCAAGAACTACGGAAGAGACCACAAAACAGACTTCAAGGCAAACTACTGTGAAGCCAACGAAAGAGACCACCTTACAAACCACACAACCAACTACAACGCACGTCACAACGATCCCAACGACTACAAGGACTAAAGAAGTGGCCACAAAACAAACTACGCGGCCATCTACTACAGGAACTACGATAGAGACCTCTAAACAAACAACGATCCCTACTACTAAGAATCCTACAACGCCAAAACATACAACTGAAAGGACTACAGAACAAAGCACACAACTTACAACGCAGATGACAACAGAGGAAACAACTAGGCTTACTACAACGGCGCAAGTCACCACGATTCCAACGACGAAGAATCCTACAACGCAGAAACATACAACTAGAAGGACTACAGAACGAACCACACAGCCTACAACGCAGATGACAACCAAAGAAACAACTAGGCTTACTACAACCTCACAAGTCACCACGATTCCAACGACGAAGAATCCTACAACGCAGAAACATACAACTGAAAGGACTACAGAACGAACCACACAGCCTACA